AGGATTTTAGAACTTTACTAAGGATGTCCTGAAAATGACTTTGCCTTTCTATTGGAATCGGTGTCAGCATCTATACAAAAAAAAAAAGATACAAATATGAGGGAAGCAGTGCCAGCCAATACAAAACTTATGATAACGCTAAGGTACTTAGCCACAGGCGATAGCTTCAAGATTTCTTTAAGCCATACAACTTTTGGCACATATATATCTTCAGTCGAACTACCACTTTTTGTACTCGCCGCAATTTTTTTCAGTTATTGGGCGTACGAGCTTCTCAAATTCTTAAATTTAGTAATTACATGGGAGGCTGTAAAGTGTGGCAATTTAATTTTAAAGCTTCTGCAATTCGCTGGGCTGCTGCAGCGCGCTTTTTGTATATTCCTTATTTGTAGGGTCCCATCGTGCAGGTTCATTTCTGTAATATTCCAAGAATTTCAACGTTTCTGCGTCGTTCATTCGTAGATTTCCGCCAGATATTTTGTTGCTTGTTCAATGACAGACTAACTTTTTCATGACTGAATCCACTGAAAATGGTTCGTGAAATATCAAATAGGTTTGATTTGCTTGGTCACGATCGTGGCGCCTTCCGTATCAATTCGTTTCCATTTTTCTTCCATGACTCAGCTATTGACATGACGCGTGATCCACGACAGCGTGACCCACGAGCGTGCTTCACTACCCGTGTCGACCTGCCTTAAAGCAGGTGTCCGTACTGTGTTCGGAGCGAAAACCTGACTCCTGACTGTATGGTGGGAATTATTTTATTCGTAGAGAAAAATGTGTTAAGTTGTTCATAAACCACAAACACTGCTATTGATAGGTTAGATACTGCAATGTTTGCATGTATTAATTTAAATTTTTCACCTGTTTAAGTATCTATTCATATTAAATCACAAGACTTTTAAATTTAATTAATTAAACTATCCAACATATTATTTTGATTGAGCATGATTTTGCTTGGGAAATACATAGTTGAATGCACAATAACTGAGACCAAATTTGGTCGGGATAGCTGCCAAAAGACGTTACCATCTGCCGCTCGTTTACAATAAATCATGTCCACTCTCTCTTCTGTGGTGATAATCATTTCTGGAATCATAAACTGTATATTTATAATGATGGAAATTCCTGCAATTCTGTCAAAGCATTTGTCAAAATTCGTTCGTAAAGGATTTTATGTACGAACGGGCGTAAAAGTGCACTTTTACGCCCGCATTTTAAAGCGTTAAGTAGTACTTTTTCGCCCTAGGGCGCCTTTTATGCCCGCGGGCCTGAAACTTCTAAAATTTCAAAAATAAGCAAAAATTCAACGTAGTTTTTTTTAAACTGTTTGCATTTCTATTGCTTAGTCCAAAAAATACCAACTTTGTTCAACAAAACAAGCTTTATTTCAATTAATAAGAATAATGAAATAAGCAATAATAATAAAATTCAATCTACTTACTTTAAAATTGAAAATAAAATTTTTACAGTTTTCAACTTTTATAATCGACCTTTTTCCACAGAAAAACACACTTCAACATTGAGTAACAACTCCATAGGGCGGATGGCTTATTTTTTTGCATTTTTCATCAATGTAGAGAGTTTCTACAAAGTACTGCTGCTCATTAACACCATGTGGGGCACACCAGGAAATAAAGTCGGTCCTTATAATATATGTTTTTTTCATAGAGTATTTTGGACTTTGAAGGTAATAGATCTTCCTTGGCCTCTTCAACTGCCTCAAGAATAAACTTGGGGAGGCTATTTTGTCCCATTTTCAGACGCCGGACTACACATCATAAAAATACTATAAACTACACAGAGTATATTAATTATTTGTTTGTATTGTTCTCGGTTGCTATAATAGTTACGTGACACTTTTGTCAACAACTGCTTTCTTGATCTAAATTTGACAAAAACTTACGACCTATTGCGGCAAAGATGAAAATTTATATTTTGAAATATTTTTGAATGATGTCATTACATAATTAAAAATATATAATTTTTTAAATTTCAAAATGGAAACATGCTCATCGTACATAAAATCCTGTATGCACCTCGGTCAAAAAGAGCTTTAACGCTCTCAGCGTGTAAACTCTTACACACGCTGCGGGCGTTAAAGCTGTACTTTTTGACCTAGGTGCATAAATAACTATTTAACACTGACAGAAAAGAACTTTATCAGCATTCCAATGTGGTGATAATAAACTAAGCATCCCCATTCCATTTGAAATAGGCAAGTTTTTGATACTTTAATGAATCATTCATCAATCATGTGAAGTTTTGAGTACTTCAACTAGATTAATTGGGTTCGGTCCAGGATGGTGTATATTAAACAATCACATACATCTACTTTGGCTTATTATAAAATATATATCACAGTTTCTTACATCACAATTAGGTGCTTGCAATTTCGTCTTTTTACTTAGGCGGTCGGTAGCAGAAGGCCCTGTATATTTTTGCGGTGATCGGTGATTTAGCAACAGATTGTAGTTCCTCTGGGTTCTGTTAACTGTGCATCAAATTTCAATTTTTCATTATTTTAATCAAGCGAGAAATCTCATTTTTTTTGCCTAAATTTTATAAATTAATTTTTTTCTCGATAACAAATGGAGATAGGGTGACGAAGTCATGAAGAGAAATGACTTGAAATTAAAGTAAAAAAAATAGGTACCTATATAAATTCGAAAATGTGAAAATATACAAGGGGAGTCATTTAAAAAACAAAACTTTGTGTCACTACCCTGTATACTGGATAATAATTTAGGAATATACATTAGATACTCATGTTTATCTACAACTTTTGTATTTACTTTTTTCTTCGATCTCTATTATAGTATAGGAAATATGGACCACCGCGCGCTTAGTAACTCACCCTGTATATTTCTTTCAATTTGAATGGAAAATCATTCAATGTTGTAGAAATAGCTATTTATGCAACAAGTGTGTGAAGTGGAGAGGCGAGTGCGACAATCGCATGAATGAAAAAAAGTGCATTCTACACGTATTGCATACAAACTTTTTCCTTCTACCAATAAAATATGTGTAAAAATTGTTATTTTTGTATCTAGTGCGCGAAATGCTGCCAAAGTATTTCGCGCCCGAGTTGCAAACAATATTTTTTCTACAACTCCATTTAAATATCAATCATTCGAAGCCATAATTACATTTTCAATCAAAGGTAGGTGAATTTTAATTATTTTTGGTTTCCTGACAGGTATGTGTCACCAAGACACCAGTGTGCGAACTAGCTATTTCGCGCACTAGTGTGCGAAATAGCTAGTTCGCGCACGGCCGGCGTCATGGGAACGTTAAAAAATCAATACCTGGGAAAAAAAAAGTCACTTCGCAAACTGTCATGAGTGTGCGAACATCATCATTTTTTGACAGTTGTAGAAAAATAGTTATTTATGATATAAGTGCTAAAAGTGACATTTTATTTTGTGAAAAGGGAAGTTTGGGACACGACGCCGAAGGCGGAGTGTTCCATCCCTTTGAACAAAATAAAATCACTTTTAGCACGAATATCATACACTATTTTTTCTACAAACACTGTTTAAAAGTCCAAATTAACGCATCCTTGAAATCCTCAATTTCAAATCTTTCATCTAATTTATTTATGAAATAGGTTGCTGCTGGCAAGAAAAAAAAACGAATTTGTTTATTTTTATTTGTCATCTCTGTTTGTCATTGTTGATTAATAACGTCAAATAATCACGAATTTTTGCTTACGGTTTCTGCACAATTTTTGGTTTTTGCGTGGTTTCATCCAGTTTCATTGTAGTTTATTTTCTGGGCGATGGAAAGTGATCAAGACAATGAATTTCTCCCGGCGGAAATTGAAGAAGCTGCCAATAAAGCTACTTTCGAATTATTGCCTAGCAAGTCAAAGCAACAGTACGAGTTTTCATACAAAAGAACATTGCGGATCAAATTCTGCCCAAAAGTTCGGAGAATAACATTGCTCTTTGCTCTCCTGGTACAAGTTTTACCAAAATAAATTCAGTATTTGCTACCAATGAGATTGGCCATGGAGTTTCTTATTCTAATTGCAGTTTCGCTAATTATACGTTTAATTAAATAAATATTTTATTTTGATATAAAATTTCCTATGTTTTTATATTTTCTGATCAGTGCTAGAAGTGATTACTTTTAGCACTAGTGCTAAAAGTAATCACTTTTAACACCAGTGTCATAAAATGACATTTTAGACACTGACAGCATCCGTTAAAAATGACACTTTTAGTGACGTTTGTAGAAAAAATAAATTAAGACAAATACTTCTCTCATTAGTGCGTAAAGTAGTTACACTTTACGCACTAGTGCATGAAGTAATTTACCAGAAAAACTAAATTTACAGTGTCGACATCTGTCATTAACATTACTTTAAGCACTAGTGTGTGAAGTGAATTGAAGCTATTAGTGCATGAAGGTTTTAGCTCAATTTTTAGCTGAAATTCCGAAAAATGGTATGTATGAAGGTGTTAATTCATTCTTTGCTTTATTAGAGACTTTAGATCATGGATGTCACCAGGTATCTCAAAAACTGAAGTTTAAATCGCGTTAACTCAAGTTTTGTTGAACTTATTTGGAGCAAGAAGGTGTTAACTCTTTATAATTGTGCAAGAAGGAGTTAAGTACTGATTTAAAAATGAAAAAAAAAAACATAAAAAATGATAAAAGCTGATCCGTAATATTAAATTTACATTTATTGTCTGTGTATTGACGCATCTTAATTTTGATTATAGTTTAAATAGAAAAAGCTGCAACAATTTTACTTTAACCCTAAAGATTTCAAAATTGTTAAAAAGTGACTTAACACCTTCATGCACTAATAGCTTCAATTACTTTACGCACTATAGTGCTTGAAGTGAAATTTTACGTCTTTTGAATAGTGCGTTAATGGAGTACTTTACGCACGGTAGTGGAAAAAATATTGTTTGCAATACTCTCAATTAACAAAGGCTTATTTTGTGCAACACACAATTAACTTTATTTTCTTTATTCAAAAATTACAGTACGTAACTTAAACCAAGACTTGAACTTCTGGATTTTGAAAATCTCTACATGATGCTCAACCACACCATCGAACAACAATTGGAAGAAGAATATAAAACATTATTAAGAGAAATTGATTATTTAGTTCCAGCAAAATCTTGCATTCTCAACTTTCAAAATAATGACTTTAATAGTAGTAAATCCAGTGAAGATTTAACAAAATTATTGAAAGGATATAGCAAAGCAGTATTAGAAACCTATATTGTTAACCATGAGAGTCATTCAAAAATGGTACCGTTGGGTAATAGAAATGATTTAATCAATTACGTCACAGAAATTATAGTTTCTAGACCTAAATGTAACCATAAATTGTGTAAATGTATATCAAAAAAAGTTTCAATTCTGCTGGACACTAGATCACCCTTGGCTGGGCCTACAGAAAATGTGAAAGTTACCCAGGCCAAAAATTATATGGAGACAGCTACTCAAAAATCTAGTAAATTATTTCGAAATAAAAAACTAAATGCTGAACTTCAAACTGATGATTTCAAACAAGATCCTAACTGCACTTGTGGATGTTGTCCCAAATTAAGTTCTCAGGTAGTCGTTAAAAATGCAATAGAACAAAAAAAACTGTTACAAGATGCAACTACAAGTGATAAGCAAATATTTCCATTTGGAAAGGGTTGCCCAAATTGTACCCAAACTTTTTCTACAGACGAAAGCGAAAGCAATAGAAAATGCGTTCCAGATAATTTTGAATCTCTTTTATCGACTTCGAAAATTCAATTTTCTACTTGTATGGCAAAACAGGATTGTGCCTGTGATCCATATGACGTTGAAGAAGCAATCAAATTAGGTGTAATATCTCCTGGCAGTGATATTTGCAAACAGAATAAAAGAGTTATCTTCAATAAGAAAAGAAAGTCAAAGAAAAGCAGGAAATCTGATATCACTACTTCCGAGAATGATACCCCTAGTGAAACTTCATTATCAGGTAATGCTTGTTGTTGTATTATTCAAATGATTCATCTATAACACATCCTAGAAGAAAATTTTGAACGCTTCATAGGAGCAAAGAACAAGCCTGGACTGCAAAAAGAGAATTTTTTTTTGGCTTGTTAATTTTTTGACCACCCAGCTGTAGGACTATAATTAGCAAAGTAATAAGGCATTGTTGTTCTAATGTTAGGGCTTCTTTTAGCACCTGAATTTGAATCAGTATTTCTATGCTTAGTCACTCTAGAACAAAGCCAAGCATAAATGTTCAGAAAACGGAAGACTCTTGCATGTGGTAGAATGAGTAGAAGCTTACTAAGTTCTAGTTGGGTCTATAGCCCGTGACACAAAAGCCTCAGTCATCTGTTAGAAGGCCGTTATTTTGGTGGGTCGGTATGCCAAGTCCTCGGCCAACTAAAACACGTATTGGTTGGCGGGTTTCGGTGTGCAGAAGCTGAGGGTTGGATGAATTTTCTCCAAAATAAGGCTTTCTGCCTTATGAGTCAGAAGCTTTTTTTCTGTTGTGAATAAGTAATATAGACCTACTGAGGCCTGGAAAAGAAACATTTGGCGGGTCTTTCCCCTCTCTTCACCAATCCCACCGCGTTTAAAGTAAGGTTCGCAAGGGAAGGTTCTACCCCACCACAGTCAGAAGGATGAAAAAAAGTGGAAATTATACATATCCACTTCCTCGTCCGTTCTGCGCTGGGTTGGTAGCCGGTTGGCGCTCTATTGTTTATTTAGACATATGTTATTGGGAAATTGAAGGTGTTTTTTGTTGAAAAAAATTCCAAAAAAAATGTTATAGAAAAATTTTCGAAGCTGCAGTGGCGGCTCGTGGTGTTTAAGTAAGGGTGGGCGACAAAAATAAGAAACAGCTGTAGGCGTAATTTTTCAAGATTTTCAAGGTCACGGCCTTTTCAAATGTTGCATTAAACATATTTTTAATTTCTTAATTTTTTCTCCAGGGTGGCGGTGCCCACCTTGCCCATATGGGCGAACGGGCGAACCGCCACTGCGAAGCTGACACCATTATTCTTAGCCATTGTTCAATTTATCATTTTGTTTTTATCAGATACATTTGTATTACATATTCTTATTTTGAATAGGTATTTTTATTATTTTTCTTTTTTGATATTATGTAGGTACAGCGTGGTCCAATTTGATATTCCTACCTACTTATATATAACCGTTTTGCCGCTAGAGAGCGTTTCTCGATTTAGTACAACGTTTGGTAGCATGGCCGGATTAAGTTTTCATGGGGCCCGGGGCTAGTGAAGTTATGGGGCCTTTGATTCTTGATATAACAGAATACACTGCTATACCTATGTTTTACAAAAATAAGTCAAAATATCTTTTTGCTACGAGCGCACGCATTTTAGGTCATGAAACTACCACTTCTCCGCAGTAGTGCTAAAAAGTAGAATACCTAAAATTTTTAGGTATACCGTAAGGTGGGGTTAGTTGCAACTTTTTCAAAATTCTTTTGCCGATACCTTCTTTATTTTTTTGTCGAATATGACATAATTGGTGCCAAAATTTCAGTCTTGTGGTCTAGTATCCGATTCTAACAAAAAACTTTGAAAAACATTATTATTTGATATATATTTTAAAAAAAAACTGGGTGTTGCAAGTTGAGCACCTGCAAGGGGATACTTGCAACAAGTGGCCTTTTTCAGTAGTAATTGTATTTAGAAACGCGTGTTAACTTACTTGCAACACAAAATATTTAAAAAAAAATAAAATGGCTAATTTTGGCCAGTTTTGGTCAATTTTTCCTCCTCTTCCTTTGGAAATACAGGCTGCCTACCCTGATAAAGGGGAAACAAGTTTCTTCTTTTCCGAGAAAGTGTTGATGGGTCAATCCCGAATTCTCGCGATGCTTCCCGAATCCCTGATCCGTTTTCGATGGCCCTTAATGCATTTTCCAAAGTTTCGTTGGAATAATTACGGTAGGTCCTACTCCCTAACTGTTTTTTGTATTTGCAAGGCATGTTGCAAGTTACCCACTTTTGTACATGCAATTTAAAAAAAAATCTATTCACGAAAACCTTCAAACTTAACTCAAAACTAGATATTCAATGTTTTAGACTAAGCATTCAAGCACATCATATCCAAATTTGATACAAATTCTAGGGTAAATAAGCTCTGCACAGGAGAAGTTATATTGCAACAATTTAGAGCACTTACCAGAGCTGTCAGAAAATTGCGCCAAATTTTTCGTGTTTAAAATTTTTCAACGCTAAACCTACTCACATTTCAACCTACTGATCCGTTCTAAACGGTAACATGTTAGCGGTTGACGCGCGACTCAAGTGAGAGGAGGGGGAAAGCAAAAATTCGACCCGATGAATATTGTTGCAAGTTGTGCCACTGTTGCAAGTATCCCCACCTTACGGTACAGGTACTTACAGCTATACAGGTATACTACAGGTACAGGTACAGAAAAGTAAAAAAAATTATCTTAAATTGGTAAATATATAGGAATAAAATAAATATTAACTTCCATCTCGTAGTAAAAATAATGTTCCTAACTCGTGCGGAAAGTCTCTTTTCCGTACTTGATTGCTTGCCGAACGACGCGCAGCTAATAATAACTGGAATCGCGTGTAGAAAAGTGGCATTTTCCACACTAGTTAGGAAATATACTATTTTCGTAACTTAAGTTAGGTTAAGTCAAAATCTGTCAACCAATCAATTTGTGGATACTTGCAGTCCAGAGGTGTTTTCTCGCGTCTCAAAATTTTGGAACATTTTTCAAAACTGGTTTAAATCAGTTTCACAATGACGTCATAACTTCTCGGCGCGAGAAAATGGGTTGAAAACGTGGATTAGGTTGTATTTCGACGCGGTTTGAACCAATTTTGTGTGACGTCCTCGGTTCATCGTCAGAATAGGTATACTATTTCAAACCTGTTCTGAACCAGTTCCAAAAAAGTGAACGCGAGAAAACACCTCTGTAGTTGTGAAACTGTCACCAAAAATTCTAAAAAAAAAGAATGTTCCAGGTGATTTTCCAGGTAGCGGTTCACCTGTTACAATTATCAGCTGCATGCTTGCAAAATGAAGTAGGACAACCGCTAGGTATCGCCACAACCAGTCATGCCACTGTGTTTGAAAAGTTTTTTGTTAAAAATAGGTTAAATTGTTCAGCTGAAATTTTGCGAAACGTGACGCGAGAGACTAGTGCATTGATTATTTATTGTTTGCCCATGGGCCCTTGACCAGCATAAGCCTCAACGCCTCAACGTGCGTTATTTAAAAGTAGGGCCCCTGCGGGGCCCCTCTGGAACACGGGGTCCGGGGCTCCAGCCCCTTTAGCCCCCCCCCTTAATCCAGGCATGTTTGGTAGACAAGAGTGGGGGAGGCTACGAAGCACCGCACAAAGAGGGGACGAATTAATAGGGAACGCTGTACAACTGTATCCTATATCTCATTCTCTAGCAGGCTCCCATAGATCTACAGTGCCCCCCATAATGTTCGCTACATATGGGATATTTTTTTTATTTGTGGGATATGGAATTTTTTCTTATATCCGATCGATCCTGCATGTCCAATAACCTAAAAGTATATTTTGACATTGGTCACGTGGTTACTGTTGTGGCGGCAAATTCGAAAATTTAGATATGTAAACGCGAAAAGTGAGTTTAGATGGCAAAATTTCGAAAAAACTTGTTTGAAAAAAGTGATTAGAACAATGTTTTAGGGCTGTCTGCGAAATTTGGAGAAAAATCAACCAAAAACAGGAAATTACTTGTTTTTCGCTATGGATCTCTTATCAATATTATTAAGAAGTTTTTATGGTTGAAATAGTCCAAGTACCGCAATAATTAATTTGTATTGGTGAAACAAACATCTCTAGGAATCATTCCTAGAGATTTAAATAAAAATATCCGTATTTCCCGACGAACCAATCTTACCTGCTTGTGTTGAACCTAAGTTTTCATCTTCAAGATATTCAACTACTATGTAGACAACCTTAATGAATTTCAACACAAGATAGACGAAAACCAGCCACTCAGACTTCTTAGCGAAATACCCAGAATACCAAGTCTATGGACAATTATCATTTATTTCATCCATTCATCCTCGTTATAATCTGTCTGCATTTATCACAGAAATATACAAGATGCACAAAATGGTTCCAGAAGAAGAAGCCACCCTCGACGGAAGCCACATACAATGAACTCCCCCTGTCCCAGAATAGTTCAAACTGAGGATAGAGGAGTTATATGGTGGTAAATTCCCTATACATGCTGAGGCTACATATTCAACCTAGATATTAGGAACATCCCAACCAGGCGCGAGCAGTCAGTTTTTTAGCTATAGTTTATACTCTTATTGTAATTCGTTATTTGTGATTGTGAAAACTCCCAATAATTCTTTAAATTATAGCGAGGGAACAAACAACTTCAATTTCGCGAAAACATATGTTCAAATAAACAATAGAGCGCCAACCCAGCGCAGAACGGAAATTATATTTTTCGTTCAGTAAATCTTGTTTTAAAAAACTATTTATTTTATTAAAAACTAGACTCTAATTGCTGCGGCAAAAAGCCGATAACAAAAGAATTTTGATTCTAATTGCTTAGTCTGAGCTAATAAGAGAATGAGCTGAAATGCTCCGTGCGGATCGTGCGCCGTATTTATATTGAAATACTGCTGATGCTTGCAACCGAGTGGGCAAAACCTTGATATGATGGTACTTTTCCAGGCGGATGGTGGGCTTTTACAGTGACGTATGCCTATATTTAACATCGGAAAGGGGAATTATTAATATAATAATAACATAGGGTTTTATAATATAACTCCTCTCTCCTAAAGTGGTTGCAAATTGGGATTGAATAACAATGATGGGCAATTCAATCTGCACTACATTTTCCTTTAAAATATAGAATAAGAATAATTGTTATAAAAATAGAATTTAATACGTTCTAGGTTGAAGTTCTCATGCGTGTCTTCCAAAAATGTTCGATTGTTAATTGTTACTGAACATTT